CCTGACAAGTCCAGTTCCACGTTCCCTGATTCCACCAGACAAAAATTAAAACCGCACATCCCATGATGCCTGAACACAGGTGCCCAGTGAAGCCCATGTCCTGCTCCTCCTCCCTGCTGCCTGCCCGCCCCCAGCTCCCAGAATAGCCTGTGGCCAAGGCTGGCCTGTGGTAAACAGCCCCAGAAGCTTCCCCAGTGGGTCCTGGATGAGTAATCCCTAGGAAAACATCGAAGGGTATGAGAGGTGTAGGTGCCAGGACCTAGTGGGTGGGTCCCTCTGGGCCTCCCTCCTGCACCCTCCTGGAATGTTCTCTAGTCATTTGGGCAGGAAAACCAGTCATCCTTCCCTGATGGGCCTGGAGCTTCCAGGACAGTCTTTCTCCAGCAGCTCTGTCTCTTCACCTCATTGCACACCCCCCTCCCGCCCTTCATCCTTGTGGTGGGGGCTCCATGTCACGGTGACCACCGTACTGACCCGCCCTCCATCCACACCGCCCTCCATCCCTCACACAACCGTCACCATTATGCCTGTCCTACACTGCCGCTCTTCTTGGACCTCACCTCAGTCACCCACAGGAGCCCTGTATCCATGGTGGTTCTCAGCCAGGCCAGCTGTGGCTTCCCACAGCCAGGGGGATGTTCAGGGTGCGAGGCTCACCTCCTCTGTGCTTTAACCAGGACTGAGGACTGACTGGCCGCTGGGGGAATCTGGGCAGACTTCTCGGCTGCCCTAAGCACATTAGAGCAAGCGGCATCTCCTCCTGTTGCCTGTCCCCAGGGATCCAGCCACAAAACCCAAAGACCCAAAGTCCACAGTCCTGGGCCTGTGCCCAGGCCACGTGCTCTCTCTCTGCCTGGAAAACACCTCCCTCCACCAGCCACCGGGGAACTCCATCTGTCCTCTGGCTCAGACCCTGTCATCCTCACTGCTGCAGCCCATCGCTTTCTCCTTGCCCCTGGGAGGCCTCCCGGGCAGATGTCATTGGATGGCACCCTGGGGACTGTACTCTCACTGAGGCATCCTCAGAAACCCAGAGCCCAAGAGTCCAGGCCCTCTAGCTGGTCTAAATGGGAGGTTGGTCCTGCCTTGACCCCAGCCACCGTCCCATTTCTACACTCCCTCCCGCACAAAGTTCTTCAAAAGTCACGTCTGCCCTATGGTCCCCACCACCCTCTGCTTCACTCAGGACTCCTGCCTGCCTCACCTGGCCCCACCAGGGCCCTGTGGGTAAGACCACCAGCAGGCCGACATGGCTTGGGGTGCTCCTTGTCTGCCTACCAGATGGGTCACCTCCCTCCTGGCCTCAGGGGCAGAGGTCCCAGGGCCCAAGTCTCGGTCCTGCCACCCATTCTTTCCTGACCCTTTGCGCACGACCTATGGCTCTGTGTACACCGGCAACTCACAGTCCAAAATCAGACTCCTCAACCCTAGCACCCAAACCTGGTCTTCCAGGGCCCATCCTGGGGCACTCCCCTTCCTTACCCATGGCAGATTCTTTATTCTATTTTCAAATGTCTGAGCCCAGGACATGGGGAGCCCACCCCACCCGGGTCTGACCTGCCACCTCCCACCTTTACGTGGCTGTGCTGCTGTTGCCATGTGGGCACAGCCCCAAGCCAGCCTTTCCTGCCCTGGGGCTACCACGTCTCTCTGTCTCTATCGTCTGGTGGCTGCTGGCCTCCTGTGGGTTGCCCTAGCCTGCTGTCTCCATCACTCAATTCCAACCTTGAGGAAACTGCCAGACATCATCCCATCCTAGGACCGTGTCACCTTCAGCCCCCCACCCAGACCCCATTCACACAGACCTCCAAGTTGCTTATTCCTTCATGTGCACATTTCTGACCAAATGTCACTTTCTCAGGGGTCTCCCTTCACCTCAGCCAGAATGTCCAATTCACTCTCTCCGCTGTACCAATTTGATTTTCGACATAATTCTTGTTACCACCTGACTTATTTTACATCGGCTCATTGGAGCTCCAGCCCCCAGAACTGTTCCCTGGTCTCTGACAGGGCCTCATGTCAGTCTCCTGTAGCCCTTCCCAGAGTAGCCCAGCCTGGCCCCCAGGCCTTTGTACAGAGACCATAAGGCAGAAGCCTGAGGAGCTTCAGGCACTATGTGCATGTGTGCATGTGTGTCTGTGTGCATCTGTCTGTGTATATGTGTGTCTGAATGTGCCTCTCTGTCTGTGTTTGTGTGTGTTTGTTTTTTGTGATTTCCACAGATAAATGGATTGAACCAAATCAAATTACTCCTCAGAGCAAAGTATAAAGACACTAGGCATAAAAATTCAGCCAAGTGTTTTCATGGTCCGTCCCCTACAGCATGTGCTCCGTTTTCAAAGGCCATTTCATGTGTGCACCTTAGCTTGCTAACACCTGACCCCAAGTTGGATGGTGGCTTGTGGTCTGCTCTGAGCATCTGCTCTGCACCAGGACAGAGTTGTGAACAAGGCATCATGGAAGGCTCCTACTTAGTGGGGCATGTGCCTTTTAGGGGAGACAGACCATAAACAAAAACGGATGTTGCCTTCCAATAGTGGTGTTGCTAGGAAAATAGAATGGTGGGACATTGAGGGAAGGGGGTGAGGATACTTTGAAACCATCTGGTCAGCGAGATAATGCTTCTTCAAGGTGATAGTTGAAATGAACCAAGGACTATGCAAGGGAGCCATCCAGTGGTGAACAGAAGTCCAACTAAGCTCCCCAAAGAATTTAGCAGGGGAGGGGCATGAAAATAAGCTCCCCTCTACATGATGTCTACGGTTCATAGGGTCAGGCCACCCCACAGCCACCCTGAGGACATGGACCAGGGGACTGCTGAGGCAGCCAGAGGCTACAGAATCCCAAGGCCAAGGAAGCTCTGTGGAGCTCAGGGTCCTGCTCCCTTCGTGAAAGGGAGCCTCCATCTCAGCGTGGACGCCGTCTCCTTGGCCTCTCTGGGTAACCTTGCCCAAAGTGACCTCTTTGGCACACAAATGGCGCCGTCAGTGTGGGAAGGAGGGGGAGCTCCATCTCCAGATCAGATCCACGCTCACACTCTGCCCGTCCAACTTCCATTTCCAGCTCCAGAAGGGCTGAGTGACCTCTTCACTTACTTCACTGACCAGCTGGGTGGGGACTCCTCTTCTTCACCACAAGCAGCTAGTGGGTGCCTACTGCATGTTGGGCCCTGGGCCAGACACAGAAGTGCTGTTAAAGCAGGTAAGGGGAAACTGAAGTCCAGAGAGGGCAGGGAGATGCCCAGGCAGCACCGCAAGTGCACGAGACAGTAGGGGCTCCCCGCCAGGCCCCCCACCAGAGACTGCTTCTCCACAGAGAGGCTGAAAATTCACAGTGCCTTGAGGGCATGGGGCAGACAGCCTGTTTGCTTGGCTGCGGATGTGTTTGGACTGCCTTCCCCGGCCAGGGTCACTTACCCTTCTCACCAGGACTTTAGACATTCACATGAATATTCCCCACTGGGGGCCCAGATGAGGCCACGTAGAAGTGGCCCGCCCCTGGGTATGGGTGGGTGATTCTGCGCGTAGGAAGCAAATGGCACACACACACCAGCCAGGGAGGTGCGGCCTCTGCAAACGCCAGGTATCTCTCAGTGCCAGGCGAATCCTAGCACGGGGGCGCCCGCGCCACCAGAGTTAAGGCGCAGGCGTGTCCCCTTGGGGTGGGGTGAGGCCCGGCCGGGCGCAGGGGCAGCTCCGGCATCCCCTCCGGATTTGCTACTGGGCCGAATACCGAGCTCCTCGCGTTTCTTTCGCGGCGGCGCCGGGGCTCCCCCTCCTTCCCCCGCCGGCAGCGGGGCGCGCGGGGGCCTCCCGAGGCGGGGGCGGGGGGCACAAGGTCGCCGCCCGGCGGGGAGCTCATCCGGCGGCGCAGACGCCCGGAGGCTCCGGGGAGGGACTTGGCCTGGGCTCTGGCCCTCGGCTCATCTGGGGAGGAGCCGCGCGGCTGCAGCTGGCGGCCGCCGGCCCGGGCAGGCGGAGGTGCCGCGAGCGGCGGCCCGGCCCGGGGGACCCCCCACCCCCCCCCCCAGCGCCCGCGCCCGCTCCCCGTCCCGCAGGAGCCGGCTCGCTGCGCCCGCGCGCCCGGGCCTTCGTCTCTCGGGTCTCTCCGTCTTCGCTCGGCAGCCGCGGGAAGGAGGCGCCCTCTCCTCCGCGGGCCCGGAGCTGCAGAGGCAGCGCGGGGCGCGGCCGAGGGGAGGAGAAAGAGGGAGCGGAGTCGGCTCGGGTCTGGCCGTGCCTCGCGGGGCGGCGTCTCCGCCAATCTGCGGGCGCTGACGCGGGGGGCGGCTCCGCGGCTCTCGGATATCTGCCGGCCCGGGCGCGGGGCGCCGAGAGGCTCCGCCGCGCGGGCGCTGCGCTCGGGGGACGGCCGCTGCACCTGCCTGGGGACCTCCCCGGCCGCTCCGTGCGCCCCCGGCCCTGTGCCCGCCCCCGCCCTGTCCCCGCCGTCCTGCGCCCGGCTCCCCCTCCAGGTCCCCTCCTCCGGGCCGCAGCGGGAGGGAGACCAGCCTTGCCCGGAGGAGCCGCCCCTTCTCCGCCGGGCCGGCCCACGGAGCGGCGGAGGGGACTGCGCCGAGCCGTCTCACCGCCGCCCCCAGGCCGCCGCGCCCTGGCCTAGATGGGCCGCAGCGTCGGGCCCCCGCGCGCCGGATGAGCGCAGAGACCCCAAGCCGGCCGCTGCGTGCGTGCGGCCTCGCCGGGCTGCGCACCCAGCTCCGCGGACGAGGGCCGCTGGGCCCGGCCGCCGAGGGCGCGGCCGCTCCGGAGAGGCGAGGGGGAACGGCCCCCGAGATGGCCCGGCGAGCGGGCTCTTCGGCGGTGGGCGCCCCACACGTGGTGCGCGCCGGGGGACAGCCCTGGAGCTGGTAGCCGGCCGCCGCCAGATGGACCTTGACCTGTGCCTCGGCACTGCGTTCGTGCCAAGCCGAGACTAGCCGGGGCCCGGGCGGAGCGCGCCCCGGGAGGGCTCCCGGAGTCCCAGGCGGCCTCGCCCGCGCGGCCATGAAGATGATCCTGGTGCGCAGGTTCCGCGTGCTCATCCTGATGGTGTTCCTGGTGGCCTGCGCGCTGCACATCGTGCTGGACTTGCTGCCCAAGCTGGAGCGGCGCGCCGTGCGGCCCTCGGGGGAGCCCGGGTGCTCGTGCGCGCAGCCCGCGGTGGAGGCGGCTGCGCCGGGCTGGGCCAAGGCGCGGGGACGCCCGGGGGAGCCCGCTTCCGCGGCGGGCGACGGGGGCTGGCCCAACAAACACACGCTGCGTATCCTGCAGGACTTTAGCTCCGACCCTTCCTCCAACCTCACGTCCCACTCGCTGGAGAAACTGCCGGCCGCGGCCGACCCGGCCGAAGGCGCCTTGCAGGGGCAGGATCCCGGCCGGCCCCGGCCCCGCGATGCCGCGCACCGGCCACTGCTCCGAGACCCCGGGCCGCGCCGGTCGGTGCCGCCCCCTGGCCCGAGCGGGGACAGCTCTCTCCTGGCGAAGCTGTTCGCACACCCGCTCTACCAGGTGTCCGTTCCACCGCTCACCGAGGACGACGTCCTCTTCAATGTGAACAGTGACATCAGGTTCAACCCCAAGGCGGCCGCTGAGAATCCTGACTGGTGAGTGAGGCCGGAGGCCGCTCAGGGTGGGTGCCTGCAGGCCCCGAACCCTCAAGCAGCCATCAGCCTGTGCTCCCCTTCCCCGCAGATGCCCTTGCACATCCAGGCATTGTTTAAAGAGGCGTAGGGGCTCAGGAACCCCCAGGGGGCATGGACCCCTGTGGCAGAGTCCCCACCCTGGCAAGGAGAGCTCTGTGGGGCGGGGCAGCATGCCGCCTCCTACTCAGGGCAGTGCCTTTGTCTCTGGAGTGACTGCCTCCTTGAGAAGGGCCTCTGGGTGGTTTGGGAGCTGCTCCCTGTGGAGTCAAGGGAGGGTCAGTGCTGACTCTATAGCAGAGCAGTTGCTGGCCTGCAAAGTCCTGGTCACTGGCTCTGGAAACTAAGTCAGGTAATGCATGCCCAAGCTGGCAAGGGAGCGAATGAGAGACAGAGACTGCCCCTAACCTTTCCCTGGGGAGCTGCTGGCTGCTAGGATTTTAGATTCTCGGCGACATTTCTCTGGTGGACACGTCAGGAAAGTCTGCAAAAGCCTAATGAGCCTTGTAAGCCAGCCGCTGAGAACAAAATTAGCAGAGGGGCGTGCTGGCCCCAATGAGGCATAACAAAAGGGCTCTCCCAGCCAGGGTGCAGACAGCAGCTGCCCTTGGAACCGTGCCAGCTGCGTTGGGTGACAGCTTCATAAAAGGTGAGAAGCATCCTCAGGAGCATCGCTTTAAACTGTCCTGGTTTAAACAGGACACCCCCCCCCCACGCCCTCCTCAGCCACACAGATCAGAATAAACGGATGCTACAGCCCAGAGTAGTGAAATATTAACTAGCAGCAAGGCCAGAATAAATACCTACCTGCAAAAGGTTACCCAAGGAACTCAGGGGGAAGGTTAGCTTTCCAAAACATCTTATAAAAATCCTTTCTACCCTGAAATTTGACCAGGCCCAGGCTTTTCTGTCTAAATACACCAAGGTGCTTGGTGGCCTCTGAGCTTTGTCTGCTGGCCAGGTTCAAGGAAATGCTTAGAAACTTGAGAATCAGAGCAGTGACCTAGGCCTGGGGCTCTTCCCAGGAGAGACAGCCCAGGGCTGGGGGTCAGTGATGTGGCCTCTGGGGGACAGGACCCGGGGCCAGAGGGCCTCATCCGTAGGTGAATTAGGGTTAAGACAGGTTCCACTTTCCCTCCAGCCCAGCCGCAAATAGGCTCTGTCCTCCCCCAGACTGGCCCCTCAACTCCAGAGATGTGAGGAGGGCCCACGTGGGCGGCAGGTCCTCACTTTAGGCCTCAGCTGGAGTGAGTGCCTGACTCTTTCCTCTCTCCCCACCCAAGACTGCTCTCGTTAAAATCAAATTTAGCTTCTTGCATCATTTCTACGCTTGGTTGTTGGAACCAAAACAGAGCGTCCAGGGAAGGTTTCTGACAGGCGGGGCATGTCTGTGATGTGCACACAGCTCGGGGTCAAAGATGGCTTGCTTGTCTGCCCCCAGGAAGAAGTGACAGCCTCCCATACCCCAAGCTGACATAACACTTGTTGGGCTGTTTTCGTGACCCCAGGACAGACGCGGTAGGGCCTGGCACTGATGTTCTGGGCTCAGTCTTGATTTAGTTATAGCTGTCTGGGCGTCTCCCGAGGGTAAGTAAGAATTACAGTTTAGATATGTTATTAGTTAGTAGAACAACAGCCGCGGAAAAAGTACAGGGTGTCCGCAGGGTCCTGTCTGAGCAGAGGCATCTTTGAATAAATCTGCATTTGTTTAGATCCAAAGTTAAAACCTTGGCATTGGCACCAACTCCCTCCTATTCATCCAGATTTTACCACTCTGTTCTTTCCCTGCTGATTCCGGGTCACCTTCATTTTCTGTAGGCCACGTGAAGGCACTGAAAATGAAGAATTCTTGCCCACGGGGGAGGCGGCAGTGGACTCCTACCCCAACTGGCTTAAGTTCCACATCGGCATTAACCGGTACGAGCTCTACTCCAGACACAACCCTGCGATCGAAGCCCTGCTGCGCGACCTGAGTGCTCAGAAGATAACCAGTGTCGGTAGGTGCCCTCACTGTGCTTCTCAATGGGGTAGGGTCTGCTGGGTCGGGGCTGGCTTTCCTGTGGAGGAGAACTGGGAAGCCATGGCTCCTTGCTGGAACATTACCTCCTGGAGTGATTTATGAGGGCAGCCTTCTAGAGGGACAAGCTTGTGAGGCCTGTAAAGGAGGGGAGGGATACCTCTGAGCAAGGCCAGTGAGGGAGGCAGAGGTGCTGTCGCGTTCTGCAGGGGCGAGGAAGGAGCAGGCACCCCTGCTGACTGGGGCGCCTCCCTCGGCACAGCAGGAAGACAGCGGGCAGAGCTCAGAGACCCGCTCTGCCCTGCTCCTGCCGTTTCCATGCACAGGGAGTGACCAGGGCTCAGCTCTGCTAGGGTGGAGGCCCATGCGCTTAGTAATTCAGAGGCAATATCACCGAGTACTTTGGGATCTGCTGAATTGGACAAAAAAAGGCATCCAATTACTGATTTCAGGGAAATGTGTCAGCAGCAGTTTCTGAGCACGGAGGTTTGGGGCCATTGTTCTCAGGCCTGTAGGCGATCATTTGTGAAGATCCTCATTAGTCACCGTGGCTTCCAAGAGGCAGTGAGGGAAGGGCTGAGGCCCTGGGGTGGAGGGAACAGTCTGGGGGCTTTGCAGGAAGCTGGGCTGAGTTCACACCGCGGGAAGGCGTGGAGGGAGGCCAGTCGGGGGTAACGCGAGTGTAGGCCCCCACCCACCCTGTGCTGCGGAGCAGACAGTCCGAGACACTGTCTTCTTGGCATTCCCCTAAGCAATGCTGATGCCCTGGGGCTCGGTCCAGCTGCTGACACAGGGGAGTGCAGCTGACAAGTGGGTTTTCCAGAGCTCTTTAAGGACTGTGTTTGGCTCGCTCTGCCCAGTACTGAGGTGTCTGCTGGGCATCTACTTGCTGTGTAGCCTCTCTCTAGCCTGTGATTGCTCACCCTTGGGAAGGGGAGCAAACAGGAAGAAGCTGGTGTTTCCTCTCTTAGCTGGCTGCACCTCCCCGACCCCCATCCTGCCTCGGCCTTCCCCGTGAGAAGCTCAGCCTCCCTCCTGCCATGTGCACAACACAGACCATCCCGTGGACAGCCACGGCCAGGGTGCCCCTTTCACTCCTGATAATAGACGAGGCCAGTATCCAGGGCGTTGACTCACTGGTTCATCCACTCAGCAGATTTTCTTGAACATCTCCTGGATGTCAGGCCACTTTCTGGGTAGCGGGTTGAGGATGAACGAACCTCAGCAGGATTGATGCTACTGACCCAAGACGTCCGGGGGCAAGCAGGACATGAACACACAATGAGGAGGCATGAATGCTTTGAGCACCATTCACATAAAATCTAGGTGACCTCCATCTAGAAGGAGGGCATGGAGCATGTTCCATAAGAAAAGATTTCTGACCCAGGGCTTAAATGAAGTACAGGCACTTGTCATAGTGGACATATCCTCCATAGGGATCTGGAGGGCTGGGGCTTCTGGGAAAATGAGAACATATTAAAATTAGAAATGTTTTTAGGGAAGTACAATGTTAAAGGAATCTGCGCTGCTGCTGTCTGTGGCACCTCTCTTTGCCTCAGTCTCCCCATCTGTCAAATGGGCTTGTGGCTACTCAGGTACATTGCATTTGTTCTAATAAGATGATGCATATGACCAAGCTTATAAATATGAACTAGTTTTTTTTTGCACTACGTGCTTGGAGGGTCACCACTCTCAAGTGCAGAGTCTGGGGTGGAGGAAGGGCTGTTGGGATTCCAAAGGCTGGCCAAGCTCACCATATCCCTCAGGGAACAAACAGCCTCCAGTTCTCCCTGGACACCCACTGTGCAGAGGACAGGGCCCAGCAGCTCAGGGAGCATCTAGAGTGAGAAGACAGGCCTCTGGGGCTCACAGGCATGTTGCCCACCCTCAGTGTCCTCCTCCCTCTGTCTCCCCAGGGGCCTGTCTTTGAGGCGCCCCCTACCCACAGTAGTCTGACTGCCCTGGGCAGTGGTGCCTAGACTGCCTGACCACAGTGGACTGAGCCTATGCCTGGGGATCCCATCCTGGCGGGATGCTTGGTGGTGTGACTGGGAATGTGTCCTTGCCCATTGTCTCTGGTGGGCTGTCTGTGTTTCTGCCACTCACGCCTGGACTGCCCTGGCCAAGCTGGTCCTGCCCAATCACCGTGTAGGACCTAATTGGTACTGGAAGGTTGACTGATTCATCTGTGTGTGGTGTGAGTCTGGGCTAGTGGATTAACCTCTATGCTCTGGTGTTCTCACATGGAACATAAAGATGGTCTAACCTAGTACCTATCATCTCTGGCTTGCAAATCTGAAATCCAAACGTAACTTGTTCAGCAAAATCTGACTCAACCTGAACTTATATGGGAGCAAAACCTAAATTGACAAAGCTATTTATAAATCCTTATTTTTCTCACTTGGAGCGAATATTCACATGTTTCTCTGAGGAAATAGGAGTGTGTTTAATTACGGAGTTCTGCCCAGACCCATTTGGGCCGTTACATAATATGTGGGATGTACACATTACCTGCGCCTTTTGTCATCTGAAATTTTTGAAATCTTTGAAATCTATGAGTACTTCTGTCCTCAGAGATTTTGATGACGGGCGTGGACCTGTGAAACCTGTATCATGGGGTTGTTGAGAGACCTCAGCGAGTGAATAGGAGAAAGAGGTCAAAACAGAGCCTAAGCTGTGTCCCTGCCAGTAGGTATATGTGTGGCACGAGGGTTTCGGGGGCAGGCCAGAGCCTCCTTGACCAGAGCAACCTGTGCTGGACAAGCCAATGGGAGGCCTCAGCCAACACTGGGCCCCACTGTCCCTGCTGCTCTGGTGTCATTGGTCAGAGGCAGACCCTTTGGAAACTGCCTTCCCAGAGAGGTCACAGTGGGTGGCTGCAGTGGGTCCCAGGTGAGTTCATGCTTGTGAAAAAGCCCTGGTCTACAGGGAGCAGCAGGAGAGGGGCTGGCCCCGGGCCAGGCTACAGGCATCCCTTGGAGATGCACACTCTCTGGGCAGAGTCTGCCCTACATCCAGTTGGATATTTTGACCAAGAACCCAACCTTCTGCTTGAGATAGCAGCCCCTGGCTGGGCCCTTGGCTTAGCAGAGCCAGCTGGGCAGGTTTGGAAATGGAGGCCCTAGCTAGGAGCTATCTGCATGGCTGTGACCCAGAGCAGGATGCAGCCTTTGAAGGCCTGGTGGTGGGGAGCCCAGGGCTGCCTCAGGGTCAGGGTTCAGCAGCGCCACCCTCCTGATCGTGAAATGGGAGAGAGACATTGAAGCCACACTGAGCCACAGTGGTGGTGTAGAGAAGAGCCTAAGTTTAAAGAACTGGAGATCCAACCCACTTCTAACACCCCTTCTGCAAGCAGAGAAACAGGCCCCGGGTTGGGGGTGGCTTGCGAATCTCTGCTCCCAGCTCAGAGCTCTGTCCCCTAGCCATCCAGCCGTAGTAGTCCCTTTAACCTCCAAGGTGTGCATCCCGCTGTTAAGTGTGAGCCCAGAAACGTTGTTGGAAGGGGGAAAAGTTGCCGCAAGGTTCCCAGAGCTTCCTGTCGGAAGGGTTCCATTAACTCTCCCCGTTCAGAACCACTTGATCCACTTCATGAAGCACGTGTGGCCTTCGGTACAGCTGCTGTGGCCGACAGAGATTTATTTATAGCCGGGCTCCTGGCTGCTTGGTAACGGCCATTCACTGCCTTTAAAGAGGCTCGGGACGTTATCTACCTCTATTCAGCTTGAAATCAGGCATGCGGTGCCTTCAGCTCGGGCCGCCGATAATTAAATTGCTATCGTGCACAATTATGGATGCAAAGAATAAATGACACAATTAACTGCTCTGTACTTGGAATCGCTTAAAAAGGAAAAGAAGTCACATAACACGGAGAGGATCCAGGCAGCCTCTGGCTGAAAGACACCCCCGTAGCTCCGTCCAGGTTGGACACAGCTGTGGTCGGTGCGTGAACAAAGGAGAACCGCTCCACAGGACCAAAGTCCCGGGCACTCAATGATCTAGCTAGGATCCAGGACTAATTGGCCGGCTAGCTTCCAGGAATAAAGACTGTCATTGGGGTAGCCCAGGGTGGGCAGCTGCCTGAGGGGCCCCCCCAGGGGGGGCACCCTGTGTAATTGGTCAGAGGCAGACTCCTTGGGAAGGCAGTTCCAGACCCAGAGACGGCACAGTGGGTGGCTGCAGTGGGTCCCTGTCTCCAGGTGCTGGCTCTCCAATAACCAAAAATGCTCAATTCACTGGAGGCATTTAGGGTCATCTGGGAGGAAGGACGTAGCCCACCCCAGACCATCCGGAAGGACGATCTGGTGCCAGCAATGCACCAGAGAAGGTGGCAAATAGCTGAGAACTTCCTCAGCTCTCCTTCCCACTGTCTAGTCCAAGATCAAGAACAAAAATCCACATGAGTGCCTGGGCACCTGCTTTTTCCATCTTGAGCAGGCCACTGGGGGTTCCAGAATCCAACAGGCATGTATTCCGATTGCGTTCCTTCTCATTCCAGGGAGGGTGCTGGTCTCCAGCTAGGGCAGCGCTCTACTCTCGAAGTAAATTTAATTATCATAACCCAAGTGAGCTGTCTTAAAGAGCTTGGCTACACCGCTGTCCAGGCTGGGGGTGGTGACAGCTCAAACACCCCAGGGGTGCCTGTGAGGGACTAAAGTTTAGTAGAGGTCTGCTAAGCAAGTAGGCAGGAGAACCCCGGCCTCAGAGCCTCTTCCGGTCCCTCACTTGGAGCAGCCCCCTCAGTGCCAGCCCTGGGTGTCCACCAATGACGGACAAGTGAACATGCACCACGCTGCTCTCTGAGGGCCCTCATCCTGGATACCCGCAGGCAGGATAAGGGGCTCTGTGTGGCAAGGGATCTAGAGCACTGGTTAGATCCCTGTCCCACCAAGGGTGAGGCATGTGGGATGGGTGGAGAAGAACAGGTGACCTCAGTGCTCCTGGCATCACAGTCCTCAAATCTGAGCCATCCTTGGCCAGGCGCTTCTTTCCTCTCACACTTAAAAATAAGGCAGTGGTTGTGAAAATATTTGGAGCACTTGCCTGACCATGATCCCTGAAGACAAACATTGATCCCACTTCCAAGACGAGGTGACAGAGGCCAAGGATAGTGACGTCAGAGGGCCCCACTGGTGGCCTGGCAGCGCCTTACCCATGGGCGTGTTTTTGTGGCCCACGAGTGTCTTAAGAATAGAATTCATTATTTAAAAATCAGGAGGTGGCTAATGAAAATATGACTTGGGGGTTCTTGTTAGAAATAGGGAGCCTGGCAGCATTGACCCTGGTTTCCACAGAGAAACAAATTGATGAGTGGGGGCTGCAGCCAGTGAGTCAGGACCCAGGTCACTTGTCCCTGCAATCACCAAGGTGTGTGACGCAGGAATAGCTGGCAGCAGAGCCCAGAGCCCTGTGTCTCCCACTATTTACACCTCCTTGGTGTGGCAGTGTTGGGGTTCCCGGCCAGGATGGCACCCCCTTTCCCTTCCCGGCTGTCTCTCTCCTCCTCAGGCTGCTCTTCGTGCTTGGTTTACTTGATGCTTCCTTGGAGGATCCTACGAAATGCAGTTCCCGTTCCAGTTCTTCGGAGGGGAAAGACAGCAAAACCACACAGTGTCCGAGTGTCTTAGTGGTCATGGGATTTATAGCATCCACGAACATTAGAACAAAGTATAGTGTGTCCTGTTAGTTTATATGAATATGTATAATTACTGCATGTCATTAATCATCACTAATCAGTGCTAATTAATGTATGTTAATGCATAGCTGGGGCATATGGCTCTGGAGGGTTAGCAGGAAGGACAGAGCTGATATCCATGGTCTGAATGGTGGGACGTGCCTGTAGGAGCCGGCTGAGGAGGTGAGAGCCTATATAAGAGGCTCGAAGGAGCCAGGCAACTAGGTAGGTGGCCCCCGTGTATTAGTGAATTGGTGACAGTGAGGCCTAGATTTGGGTGGGACCATGGAGATGGAGAGAAGGTGGCAAATGGGGCTCCTTTGGGGTGAGTGTCTTCTGGGGACATGGCCACTGGGTGTGTGCCAGGACAGCCCCAGCCTTAGCCTGGCCCGGAGTCCATGGTGGGCTCACTGCACCCAGGTGTCCTCAGGGCTGAGGTTGGCCAGGTGTTGACAGGCATCTGTCCCCCGAGAAACCTGGAAACCTGACCAGGTGAGGGCATGTCCACCACCTCTCACGTGGGGTCCTTGCTGCCCACATGGGCTCCTCTCTGAAGTTTGCCTCTGCTCCACAGCGCCTCCCTACCCTGCACGGGGGACAAGATTCCTCAAGCCTGTGTTCAGGAAGAAACCCCAAACTCACAGCCTCCTTCTGGAGGCCTAGTTAGTGTCCTGGCTTTGCCACCTGGGCCCTCAGATTGGGCTCATTCAGTAGCAGCAGAGCAAAGCCACTCACTCCATCTGCCTGTCACCCACCCCAGATGAACACTTGGCCTTTGCCATGACTCGAGGAGTTTGCATGTGGGTTTTTGCAGGGAGACCATCCCTCATTTCCAAGCAGAATTCCAAGTGTCTTCCAGTTTTGGACTCCAGCTTGGCAGAGTGAACGGCGGACCCAGGTGGGAAGGCACACATCCTCAGACAAGAGGAAGGCAGTGTCCAGGGCAGTTAGCAAAATCCTGGCCTTTCCAGAGTCCTTAGTCACCCGGAGCCTCTAAGGCCCATTAATCTCTAGTTCTGTGCTTGTTCCGCGGAGAGGAGCTGGCAGTGCAGTGGAAAACACGGGGCAACAGTGCATTGAGATTCGCTTCCAGAACAAGAATGACTAAACCGACCAGATTTGCATAATAATTTATTATTCAAGAAAACCAGGATTACAGGCCCTGGAACGAGCTGATGTGCTGTCCCCGATTGGCCCGGGAAGGAATAATTAAATCCGGTGACCCCAGTTATTACATGGAAATGGGGACATCGAATGGGGCTTAATCGGGCCACTAATTTTCTTAATGATCACTTCTGTTTTCATCTTATTAAAAATGTAATAAATGTTCATTGTAGAAATTTAGAAAGCATAGATAAGGGAAAAAAGGAAATTAAAATCATCTGTGGTTCTACTCTTGGGGGTAACCACTGGGCTGTAGCTTCATATCTGCATCCAGATTTTCCCACCCGCTTACGTACACACCTTCCAAAGAAGGCAGCTCACGGAGCATAAATGCTTCATAAGCTGCTTTGCTGTGTCATTAGAAATTCTTTGGTACTGTTAAGAGGGCTTCAGAGTATTCCCTCACATGAGATTACCCTGCATTGTACTTCTGCCCCCAGGGTTGGGCACTTTTAGGCTATTTCTAGTGTTTTGGAGTGAAGTGGAATTTATCGCTGGCTTTGTGTTCCTGAAGAGGGTACAGGCTGGAAGGGAATCACCGACAGACCTAAGTCTCACACTGGTCTGGGGGAGCTATGCCTTCAGCTCCACCTCCTGGACCCCAAGACCAGGGCGTGTCTGACTGCAGCCAGGCTGTCCCTGCCACAGACTCTCCAGAGGAAGGAATGGCCAAGTGGCTGGGTTGGGTACCCAGGGAGTAGGTCAGAGGCCATGAGAGCCCCCCAAAACACTCAGGGAACTTAGACCTCCTGGTCATTCTTCGCACTCATGGGGCAGTTTGCCATCTTGAATGTGCCATGTGCCCTGTGCCATTCCGGATGCTTCACAACCATTACCCACTTAATTATGATAGCAGTCTTGCGAGGTAGATGTGATTGTCATCCCCGTGCTGCATGTGGTCAACCTGAGGCATTGTCAGATCAAGTAATACATTGCTCTCATTTGTCTTGACCTTCACTATAGCGCCATAAAGAAGGCTGGGCAGGCATCTGCTGAGCTCCATCCAGTACAAGGGGGAAACCAAGATTAGGGAGAGTGAAGACTCCCTCTCAGGCGCCTGGACATAGGAAGCTGGGCAGAGACTCCAGCCTCAAGGCTCCTCCATACCAAAGCCCCCCAGTATGGCACCCTCTGAGTATGGTGCCCCTCCAATATGGTGCTTCTCCAGTATGGTGCTCCTCCAATACGGCACCCCTCCAATATGATGCCCCTCCAATATGGTGCCCTCCAGTATGACACCCTCCAGTATGGTGCCCCTCTATTATGGTGCCCCTCCAATATGGCACCCCTCAGTCATCTCTACTCATCTGGCCTTGATCTTCACCTCCATGCACATTCCTCCCCATTCATCTACTGCTCCAACTGGAACCCAAGGGTTATCCTAGGTTCCTTTCTCCCCTCCACACCCCACACCTACTCCACTAAATGGTTCCTTGGTTCCTTGGAGCCTCAGATATTTCTTAAATTTTTCCATTATCCCCATCTCTGTCATCCAAACCACCATTGTCTGCTATGGCTGCCTTGGCCTCCTTCCCCTGGCTTCTACCTTACACCCTTGTAGCCAGCCCTCTACACTGTGGGGGACAGCATTTACCTGGTTCCTGGCTATTCTGCTGCCTAGCACCAACCACTCACCCCGTGTTGGAAGGACCCCTCTGAGAGCTGCTGCATACCCAGGCCCCCAACCCACTTCCCTCCTACCCACTGGGATGGGGGGGCCCCACGCGCTTCCTCGAAGGCTATAAATGTGCCTAATTCTCTCCTTCTTCAAGGCCTGTGCATTCCTTCTGCCTTCCGTAGTGTGTTCAGGCCAACCTCTACTCCTCCCTCAGAGCAGCTTAGGTGTCACCTCCTCAGAGAGGCCTTCCTAAGGGTTCTCCAGGGCCTTTTGTCCTCTTGTACCAAAGCCTGAAGTCATCTTGCTGTCATGCCATACCAGACACAGACTCTGGTGGGGATACTTTGCCTCTTCCTTGGTCATACCTGTGACAGTAGCACAGCTCGTGCCTGGTGTGGATGCAAGCGGCCCTCCATGTGGCCTGCTTCACATGGTCTGGGGCTCTTGCCATGCAGAAGGTGGGGTGGGTAAGTGAGCTCAGCTTCGAAGGTGGCCACAGACCAAACCCAGCCTCTCGGCCCCACATCTTGGGGAAACCCCTGAATATTTTCCTTCCTTCAACTCCATCAGCATATAGGAGATCCAGAGTCTGGGGAAGAGCAGGTATTTTCAAAAAATCTTTAAGCTGCTGAGCTGGTGTGGCAGTTGGGAAGCCATAATGATGCTTTTGGAGACTTCTACCCCCATAGTGTCCATGTAGAGCCCCTGAAGCCCTCTGTGATGAGTCAGGTGCTTCTGGCCAAGAGGTCTCCAGGGTCTCCTCAGACTAACCCTGCTCAGACTTGCAATTGAACCCCAGAAACTTATACTGGGCAAGCAGTAATGTGGGGAGGGGTTGGGGGGGCGTATAAGTAGGTCATCCAGGTGTCTGGGGAGGGAGGCATTGCTGGGATGTACATATACTTGACCATCCTTTCTAGAAGCCAGTCCCTTTGTGTCTGGGTCAGACTGTCTGAGAGATCCTGCCTCCAGCACCAGCACCTAAATATCAGGTGGGAGTGTGTATCAGCATCAGTGGCCGTTGGAGCAGAGTGGGAGCTGGCCTCACTTGCCCATAGGAGAAGTCTTGGGTAGCAAGTGACTCCATATCTCTTTCCCTCTCCCTTGCAGCCATGAAGTCGGGGGGCACGCAGCTCAAGCTCATCATGACGTTCCAGAATTATGGGCAAGCGCTGTTCAAACCCATGAAGTAAGTGCTGGGGGCTGGTTGGGACTGGGATACCAGGGGCAGAGACATGTCTGTACCAGCGTGTGCAGCACCAAGTTTCTGGTGGAAAATGCAGTGTTTCCTCCCAGAGGTGTTTTGAGGTGAACTGTTGGGTGACTGCTCTGGGCTTTCTCTGCATCAAGGCAAGAAGTTAACACAGGGGTCCTGCATCCTCACCTCCTTCTCTCCCAGGCCTCCCCAGTCCTCCCCATCCCAACCTTCACCCACTGGCAGATCATTCCTACCCCAGTGAGCATAAATGTTTCAAACAAGGAACCTGAATATGGACACCAAAGAATGCTCCTAGAGGAGGCGGCTTTCGCCTCTCCTGCATGCCTCGGGGATCAGCAGACTGTTTTTCTATAAAGGGCCAGCTGATAGGTATTTTAAGTTTTGTAGGCTATATGGTCTGTGTCTCCATGCCTCAGCTCTGCTATCCTAGCCCAAAAGCAGCCAAATGATACATAAATGAACAGTCATAGCTGTCTGTCAGTAAAGCTTTATTTATAAAACTAGCGGTGGGCTGGATCGAAACCCCCCACCACTGTAGTTTCCTGTTCCATAAAATAGAAACTGTGCTACCAAAATAAATATTAAGGCACTTGTTGGCACATGAAAATTTATGGGAGTGGTAGAAAGGGGTATTTGAAAGCCAGGCCACCGCAAGAAAATTCATGAGGCGCATCCGTGTTTTTGGTGTCCGCTCCGATGATGCTGGGGCATAGGTATCCCGTGTGGTCCAAGGTTGCTGTGCCATCTCCTGTTAGCCACACCAAGGCCATTTGTGAACTGACAAGAGAGAGTTCGTTGCATTTAAAGTGTGGGTTGTACCTCCCAGTGCCCACGAGGACCATGCTGGTGGTGGGAGCTCATGGCAAGCTGCCGGGCCTGGGCTCCACCAGAAGGGGCAGTTGCCTGTGCTCGCCAGATCTTGGCCATCTGTCCCGATATCCAGTTTTCAGGATAAGCTAGAAATACAGATACCCTTTTCTGCTAATTTTCAAATTTCAGAAAGGTTGGTAACTAATTGAGAAACATTCCAAATACCTTAGAGACCCAATAAAATACAGCTACTAGTTGGTAACTTGTTACCAAAGGGGTGATTTGGGGCTGCTGGGATAAGGTGCAAATGCCCCACACTAAGGCGTGGTGAAGGTACCCATGATGCTGTCAGGGGTCTGTGAATACGGGCCCCTCCTTTCTGGGTCTGTGCAGAAAGGGAATTTTACAGAGCCTTCAGGAGAATCAGTATAGAAAAAGGAGCTGCAGTGGGCTTGGCTGTCTTGGGAAGGTGGCTGGATGCAGGAATGTGGACAATCAGCATGGCTCATGTAGCCCCCCACTCCAGAAGGATGACTGTGGCAGGGTCCACACAGCTGGAGAGTACGTAGCCTGGGGAGGGTGTGGGTTCCTCCTGGAACATTCTGGAAGGGATGAGGCCTGGGAAGGCCTGGGCTCCTCATTGGAACATTCTGGAAGGAATGAGGCCTGGGCAAGCCTGGGCTCCTTGTGGAACATTCTGGAAGGAATTGAGAACTAAGCAGGCATGGGCTCTTCATGGAACATTCTGGAAGGAATGAGGCCTGGGCAGGCCTGGGCTCCTTGTGGAACATTCTGGAAAGAATTGAGGACTAGGCAGGCATGGGCTCCTCATGGAACATCCTAGGCTCCTTGGGCTTCTTCATTATTTCAGCCCCTCTGTTGAGGAAAATAGTTGAAAGGGTGTGGCCTCTCACAGGGGAGCTGAGGCAGAAGGACTACTTCCAGGTCCCTGATGCCACGAGGATGCTCTTCCCGCCCCTCCGTGGGATTACCTGTGTGAGCACTTGTGGACGGGATGCCCAGTGTAGGCTCTAACAACAGCAATAATGGTAACGTTGCCTGAGTGGCTGCCGTGTGCGTCCCTTGGGCCTGGCCCTGTGCCAAGGGTTACAGGTCTGTTGTTCCGTCAGCACGCCTCTGGGAGTTATAGGAAGGATTATTACTCCTGCTGTTGTTCTGCCACATAAAGAGGAGGAAGCTGGAGCTTGGAGAAATGGTGTAGATTGCCCAAGGTGGAGCCCAAAGTCCAGGGTACCCAGCCTCCCCCTCTGCCCTCATCTCCCTAACCACCACCGCTCCGGCCTCCCCCTCTGCCCAGCTCCCCCTTACCCCACCTCCCCCCTTCCCCTGGTCTCCCTGACCCCCTCCCCCTCCTCCCCACCTGCCTTCCCCCCACCACTGCCCCAACCTCCTCTCCCCCTCCCCCTCCCCCTCCCCCATCTCCCTGACCTCCTCCCCCACCCTCCACCTGCCTCCCCCCTCCTCACCTCCCCCTCCCCTTGGTCTCCCTGACTCCCCCCCCTTCCACCTGCCTTCCCCACGCGACTGCCCCAGCCTTCCTCTCCGTCTCCTCACCCCCAGCTGCGGCAGCCATGGTGGGCAGCACCCAAGGTCACGGGAGGAGCTGAGTGTAGAGATCTGGCAGGTAGGACAGCCAGGCTCCTGGGTCCCTGGGAAGCTCACGTGGCTCACCTTTGCCCCTTCTCTCCTAAACTGTCAGTCCTCAGCCCATTTAGAGCAGGAAGGATGCCTGGTCCTGCCTCTCCAGCATCGAAGGCCGAGGCCACTCGTGGACAGTCTGGGGCAGGGCTTGTGCCAGTGCTCGGCAAAGACCAGTGTGACCTGTGGGCTGAGTGGGGATGTTGAGGCCAGGTGGTAGCCATGGAAACAGGGTTGAGAGTCTCTAGGCAGTTGGGGAAACTGAGGCCAAGAAGGGCAAGCACATGCTCATGGCTGCCAGCTGGACTGCTGGAGCCAGAGCCACGGTGGGTGTTCTGAGGTCAGCTCGTTCCTGGGCAGCCGACGCCCCCCTCCGCCACCCGCCCCGGGCAGAGTGGACACACGTTGGGTCTCTGATGTCCCTCTCGCCTGGTTCTCTTGCTATTTCTGCTGGCTTGGACCCAAGTGCTTCCTCACACCCAGACCTTCCTCGCTGACCATGTCCTGAGTCTGGCATTGATCGTGGTCCTGTTGCCAGCACCCTGCTCTCCCCTGAGGAACCCCGGGGCCCAGGCCCACGACCTGAGGAGGCTGCACACGCCATTCCCGTCCCCAGTGCTGCGGTCTGAACATGAAAACAGCTGTGGTTTATGACCATAGCATTACAAAATTAAAATCCATGATTAATAGTTCTTTTTAAGAAAAACTTTCTTCTGTGAGCTCTAATGGCTTTATAAGTTATCAGTAGCATATTATGAAGTACTTTTCCTGTTTCTGGACATTCTTGCTTTAGGATTAAGTAAGTAAGCTTTCCAACAGCTTCATCAAGACGTAATTCACCTCTCACACAGTTCGCCCACTTACAGCCTGCGGCTCGGTAGCTTTTACTCTATTCACAGAAGGGCATGTCCACCACCACCATCCACGGTAGAACCTTTTGGTGACTCCAGAAGGAACCCTGTGTTGCCATCCTTCCCCGACTCCCCCTGGACCACCACCGATCCATCTTCTGTGTCTGTGGAGTTACCTGTTCTGGAATTTTATATACATACACTAGGATATGTGTTCGTTGTGACCAGCTTCTTTCACTGCGCATCGTGCGCTCCAGGCTCATCCATGCACGGCGGGCGGCGGTGCCCTACTCCTGTCTGCGGCCAAATGGTACTGCATATGCTGTGGATGGGCCATGTTTTATTTGTATTTCCACCAGTTAATGGGCATTTGGATTATTTCCACTTTGGGGCTGTTACAAATAACGCTGCCGTGAACCTTCATGTCCATGTGTTTGCGTGAACCTGTGTTTTCATTTCTTTTGGGTCTAAGCCTAGGACTGGAGTTTCTGAATCTGATAATAACTGAACGTAACTGAGGGGCTGCCAGAGTGTTTCCCACGGGGCACACCGCTTACATTGCACGGCGACCTTGTGCCCTGGCCAGCACCTCTTACTACCTGTCTGATTCTGGCCCCCCTGCTGGTGTGAAGTGGTGTCTCCTTGTGTTTTGTTTTGTTTAAAGATTTATTATTTATTTATTTATTTATTTATTTATTTATTTATGATAGATATATATATATAGAGAGAGAGAGAAAGAGAGAGGCAGAGACACAGGAGGAGGGAGAAGCAGGCTCCATGCCGGGTGCCCGACGTGGGACTCGATCCCGGGACTCCAGGATCAGGCCCTGGGCCAAAGGCAGGCGCAAACCGCTGAGCCACCCAGGGATCCCCTCCTTGTGGTTTTGACCCACGTTTTTCTAATGACTTGTGATGTTGAGTATCTTTTCATGTCCTTGTTGGCCATTTGTGTATCTTCTTTGGGGAAATGTCTCTTCAGATCTGCTATTTTTTGGTTGGCTTGTTTGGTTAGTTGTAAGAGTTCTTTATTTTGCACATGAGGCCCTCATCACATATGTGGGGTCCTTCAAAGCACGAGCTTTTTATTTTGAGGGTGTCCACTGTGCCTATTTTGGCGTGGTAGTGCCTGTGCTTTTAGTGTAGCATGTAAATGTTCTGTGAACTAGGTATGCCGTGATGCAGGTGAGGAGAGTGACCGGAGTTTGCAAGTGCTGGCTTGTCCACAGAGCCAGCAGGCCTGGTGGTGGTGTGGCCACAGGCACCACGTTTCTCAAAGGCAACTGGGAGGAGCTGGTGGTTTAGCAATGTGCGGTGGAGACAGTTGGACAGGCCAGAGAGTATGGGCACTTTGCAACAATTCCAACTTGCTTCTTGAAGAACGGCCATACAGGTAGGCGCATGATGCCAACTGTGAGCACCTCCTGGCAGAAACATGCACAGCCATCCCACAGTTGCCCACAGAGCCCTGGGGCCTGGCCTCGTGCCTCGGATCCACACTGTGCAGACCCCACTCTCCTGCTGCTCAGGTGGGATGGAGAGCAGTGTGTGTCTGCTCCTACCACAGCCCCGGGAGTGGGGGCCGAACTCAGTGTTGGTGCTGTGTATGTGTGTACAGAGCAAATGAGGGGGTGGGCGGACAGTGGCAGACAT